GGCTAATCTTGTTAAAAGATTGAACAGAGAGAGATTAGAAGAAAATATCCTGAATGAAGCATGAAGAGGATAAGAAACTGAGAGGGTCTAATATGCTTTCAATGGATTCTGTAAAGGGAGTGGTAGGCAGGCAGCAGAAATACTTTAAAAGATGGTGCCTACAAACTTTTCAAAAATGAAAAGAACTTCAGTACAGATTTAACTGCACCTACAAAAAAATATACATAAAAATATATACCTAGACACATCATAGCAAAACTGTTGAAAACCAAAGATTAAAAAAAAAAATCTATAAAAGGAGAAGAAATCAGAGAGACAAACCATGAGAGACTATGGACCCTGGGAAACAAAATGAGGGTTTCAGTGGGGAGGGGGGTGGGAAGATGGGGTAACTGGGTGACAAGCATTAAGGAGGGCATGTGTTGTGATGAGCACTGGGTGTTATATGCAACCAATGAATCACTGAACACTACATCAAAAACTAATGATCTACTATACAGTGGCTAATGGAACATAATAAAAAATAAAAATTAAAAAAAAAAAAAAAAAAAAATCCAGGCGCCTGGGTGGCTCAGTTGGTTAAGAGACTGCCTTCGGCTCAGGTCATGATCCCAGAGTCCTGGGTTCGAGTCCCACATCAGGCTCCTTGCTCAGCGGGGAGCCTGCTTCTCCCTCTCCTCTGCCTGCTCCCCGCTTGTGCTCTCGCTCTCTGTCAAATAAATAAATTAAATCTTAAAAAAAAAAAAGACAAACTACACTCATGGGAGTAAACATTAAACTGACAGCTTACTTCTCATAGAGAGACTAGAAACCGAATATGTAATTCAGGAACTTCTTTCAACACCTTAGAAGAAAACCAACAATTTAGGCAATTCAATACACATCAAAATTATCCCTTGAAAAGAAATCAACTTGTGAAATTTTTAGCTAACATAATCAGAGAATTCACTATTAGCAGTCATTCAACAGGTGAGAAACACAAAGAGTGTTCTTCAAGCAGAAGGACAATGTTCAAAGATGGAGGACCGGAATTACAGCAATGAATGAAAAACAATAAAAAGGGTAAATCTAAATGGTTATTGATTATACAAATTAATAATGTCTTAAGATAAAATAGATACAGAATTAAAAGAGCACAACAGTGGCATATAAGTGAAAATGAGATAAATGAAGTTTAAGTGCCCAGGAAAAGAGGCAAATAACCAAATATTACATTTTGAGAAGTCAAAAACAACAGGTGTTTTAAATAACTTCCAAGTTAACAACAACAACAAAGCATCCAAAGAAAAACAAAAAAGGAGAGAAAAAAAGCACATTAAACAGGTATAATAAAGAGAAAATACTTATTAAGATAAAATTTACACCCAACTATGTCAATGATTTTGTTAAGTGACAACAGACCAAATATTCCAAATGTAAGAAACATTGTCAGGCTAGATTGTTTAAATTCCAATGATACATTGTTGACAACAGACTCATTCAAAATGTAAGTACACAGAAAGTATGAAAATAAAGAGAAAAAAAAGACATACGTTACATATATTAACCAGAGAAAAGACAGTGCAGCTACAATAATATTCAGCTAAACAAACTTTGTTCTAACTATACATTTGTCTTAAAGAGGAACACTTAATAATTTTTAAAAACTCAACTGAGGAAGACCTACAACTCTAAACATGTATGCACCTAACAACATACCCTCAGAATATATAAAGCAAAAACTATCAAAACTAAAAAGGAACAAATGCAAGATTACAGTATTAATACATTTCTGTTGCTGAGCAATACAACCAGTAGACTAAAAGGAAAAACTAATAAGGATGTTAAATTCAACATGACTAACCAAGCTGAACAAACATATAGACACTGCATCCAACAAATACATAAGCACATTCTTTCCAAGCACACACTGGGCATTTACAAATTGGGCCATAAAGCAAGTTTCAAAAATTTCATAAGCTTTTAAATAGTGTTCTGACCACAACGGAATTGAGACAGAAATATAGGCAGAGGGGCGCCTGGGTGGCTCAGCAGGTTAAGTGTCTGCCTTCAGCTCACGTCATAATCCCAGAGTCCTGGGATTGCACCCCACATCGGGCTCCCTGCTCAGCAGGGAGTCTGCTTCTCCCTCTGCCCTTCGCCATGCTCACGCACTCTCTCCCTCTCTCTCCCACAGATAAATTAAATCTTAAAATATATATATATATAGGCAGAGCAGAGACGATTCTTAAGAGCAGTGAAACCACTGTGTATGACGCTATAATGGTGGATACATACCACATATTTATCAAAACTCATAAAATATACACCAACAACAGTAAATACTGACATAAAACTATGGACTTAGAATGGTGATGATGTGTCAACAAAGGTTCAGTGACAAACAAATGTACAATCTGGGGCAGGATGTTGATTATGGGGGAGGCCGGAGGGGATGGTGAGGGGATCAGGAGGTACAAGAGCCTCTATACTTTCTGCTCAATTTTGCTGTGAACTTAAAACTGCTTTTAAAAATAAAGTCTATTTTTAAAAAAGATTTATCTGTCAGGTTATATTAAGTATGCTTTGGTTACAAACCCCAGAAATCTTAGTTAGGAAAACTTAACCCAAAATACTTCCCACTTCCCACCCCTACCCTCCCACTTCTCTTCTTTTCTCCACCCCACCCCTCCTGCACCTCCCTCTGCTTTCTGCTCACTGTAGACACATAAAAGCCCAGGACTGCAAGAAGCTCCATCTGGAAACATGATCACTGGCAGGAGGAAGGGGATGTGGCAAATCTCACCACTGCTCTTAAAGTTTATGTGACAAGTATCTTCTCACATTTCACTGACCAAGATAAATACATAGCCACATCTAACTCAGGAAGCAGGAACCAGATACTAGCACACACCCACTATAGTATCTAAAATTACAAACACCAATAATACCATATATTGATGAGGATGCAGAGCCACAAGAATGTATTTACCGTAGTAGGAAGAGAAACTGGTATATCTACTTTGGAAAAGTTTGGCATTATCTACTAATATTGAACACAGACCTAATATATGACCCAGCAATTTTACTCCTAAGTGTACTGAACACAAAAGTATGCAAGAAACATGTACCTGAGAGTTCACAGCACGTCCACTCATGTGAGCCCAGTGACAGCCATGAAAATGAGCCTCTTGGATCACCTACCATGGAGAGATGCTCCACTCTGAACTCATCAACACACTCCACACCAGCACCACACTGCCCACAGGCTGTTTCAAGCCAATGACCGACCACAGGCAGAATACTAAAGCAGGCTTATTCCTGCACGACAAGGGACTCCTGTGACTCCCAACTCTGGCTAGAAGACTCCTCACTGGCCTTGCTTAAATTTTCTTAAAACTGCACTGCGGTCATCAAACTTTGCCTCCCAAACATTCTTCATCCCTTCCTCCTCCACATGCAGCAGACCCCCAAGGTGATGACAACGCCCACACATTTATTTCCCCCACTACATCTAAATCTGATCCAAACTTGGGATGCCTGGGTGGCTCACTTGGTTAAGCATCTGCCTTCAGCTCAGGACATGATCCCAGGGTTCTGGGGTCAAGCCCCACATCGGGCTCCCTGCTCAGTGGGGAGTCTGCTTCTCCCTCTCCCTCTGCCCCTTCCTCCTCTGCTTGCGTTCTCTCTCTCAAATAAGATCTTTTAAACAAACACACCTGATCCAAATTTGTTGTCTTCCGGTTCTTGGGAGACCTGCACTAACAGTCTCAAACTGGGAACATCCCAATTTTTATCAACAAGAGAATGAAGACCCATGAATAGTACAATTCATACATGAAACTACAACTCTAGTGACCACATAAATGAAATTCATGATGAAGAGTTCCACAGTTAGTGTGTCACAGACCATGAATGTGCCACTATTTCTATACATTTCACACACACACACACACACACACACAAAACTGAAAAAAAAGCAAGACTCTGAAGTCAACAGTCCTCAATCAAAGGGTAGATCTGCTATTAACTCAGATTAAGCTATTTAGAGCCAAATTGTTACTGTGTTAGCCAGGGCCCTCCTCTTGCCCTCCTCCATCCACCCACCCCCACAATTAACCAATTATAAAAGACTGCTGTGACTCTAACATACTATTATGCAAATACTTAAAAGCATAGATACAAAGACATACAAACATCTTAAAACACACACACACAGAACATAGTTCTATAACTTGCTTCTTACTAAATATTTTGTTTCCTACAGAGTGCAGTAAAATTTTCCTCTTATTTGTAATAGTGACACAACATTCCAGCGTATCTATATAAAATTCACTTATTTTGCCCTAACCCCAATATTGGCCAGGTGTTTCAAATTTGTCATATCACAAATACTACTATCATGAAAAATCTTACACATGCAGATTTGCAAACTCATACAAACGTATCTATACAACAAACTCGTATCAGTGGAACTGCTAAGCCACACAGTATGGACGTTTAAAAATGTCTAAATAGGGCGCCTGGGTGGCTCAGTTGGTTAAGCAACTGCCTTCGGCTCAGGTCATGATCCTGGAGTCCCGGGATCGAGTCCCACATCGGGCTCCCTGCTGAGCAGGGAGTCTGCTTCTCCCTCTGACCCTCTTCCCTCTCATGCTCTCTCATTCTCTCTCTCAAATAAATAAATAAAATCTTTAAAAAAAAAAATGTCTAAATATAGGGGCACCTGAGTGGCTCAGTCGGTTAAGTGTTGGACTCTTGGTTTCTGCTCAGATCATGATCTCAGGGTCCTGGGATCAAGTCCTGTGTCAAGCTCTGCACTCAGGAGGGAGTCTGCTAGAGATTCTCTCCCTCTGCCCCTCCCCACTCTCTCTCTAAAATAAAATCTTTTTTTGAAAAGTGTCTAAATATAATGAAACTACTTTCCAACAAGGTACTACCAAACTACAGCCCCACCAACGACATAATTTATTGAAAAACTATATATACTTTAGATGAATCTTACTTTATTAGACGAATACCTTAGAAATTATGAAAAGTGGGCTGCCTGGGTGGCTCGGTCAGTTAAGCATCTGCCTTCAGCTCAGGTCATGATCCCAGGGTCCTGGGATCCAGTCCCACATCGGGTTCCCTGCTCAGTGGGGAGCCTCTGCTTCTCCCTCTGCCTGCTCCTCCCCCTGCTTGGGCTCTCTCTCTCTCTCTGTGACAAATAAATAAATAATCTTTAAGAAAAAAAATTATGAAAAATAATTATAAATGGAAGTACATAGGATCACTTCTTTCACTGAGTCAATTTAAAGGAAAAACCTTACAGAAGTAAACAATACCAAAGTAAACCAAAAAAATTACTGGTAGATACAACCCAAACATTAATTCTAAATTAAAACAAGACCATTCCAGGGCACCTGGGTGGCTCAGTCGGTTGAGCGTCCAACTCTTGATTTCAGCTCAGGTCATGATCTCAGGGTCGCAGGATGCAGCCCCATGTTGGGCTCCATGATCAGCTGTGGGGGGGGGTTCTGCTGGAGATTCTCTCTCCCTCTCCCCCTGCTTGCTCGCTCGCTCTGTCTAGAAAAATAAATAGATCTTTAAAAAAAATAATAAATATGGGACGCTTGGGTGGTTAAGCATCTGCCTTTGGCTCAGGTCATGATCCTGCTCAGCAGGGAGTCTGCTTCTCCTTCTGCCCCTCACCCCACTCACGCTCTCTCTCTCAAATAAATAAAAGAGTCTTTAAAGAAAATAATAAAAGAAAAGAAAACAAGACCATTCCACAGACATGCCACCCCAGGAGCCAACTATCATCACTGCATTTACGGATCCTGCAGTTCCCACTGAGAAGAGTGACCAGAGCTCTGTAGGATACTGGGGCTCCCTTTGCAACTGCAATATAAGGCATAACGTCTGAATTCTCCCAGGATGGGTGAGCAGGTCTTTTACAACAAAGCCACTCCAACATTCCAATCTCTCTAAGCCTTCCTCCATTATATACCAAGACAGTTCTGTCATCTCAGCTTTTGCTTAGACAGACGACCTTTTGATTTGTTTAAGGCAATCAACCAGCACTCTAATCCCTCGAGCTACCAACTGATCCAGAATGCCCACTTATAAGCCCATATCAACAAATTCAGTCTAACCCACCTTCCTGTCCCTTCCACCATTATCAAACACCCTTAAGATCCATTCCCACGAATACCCCCAGGTCCTACCTATACAGTGGCAAACCAATCTTTTGGATCTCATGAGTCACACTGCCTATACCTCCTACTTTGGGGCCTGCTGGGACGATCCTTGGGGAAGGGTAGGCAATTACAAGTTTGCCACGCAAAGGAGATTAAGTTCCTCACGCAGGGGTTGGAAAAGCTGCTTCTACTGGCAAAGGTAGCACAGAATTTAGGTCTCCAGCTTAACTGGAATCTGACCATACGTTTCCTAATCCAATTTTTACGATTCCACTCCTTATCAATCAATGCTCTTGCTTACAAATTTGGAATTCAATTTGCATTTTTTAGGGCAATCGCAGAAACTTTCAGGTCCCTTATGTGGAACCCCAGTTGGCATTTAAAACCCTGAGCTCATCATTTTGTTTTGTAATGTTTTAACTTGGCTAGACTGAACCACATTCCCCAGAACTTCCTTTCCCATTTGGTTCTGGTTTGGGCCACAAGAGGGCTCTGGTACAGCAGGCAGACAGTGCGGCACATGTGGCAGCACATGTGTAGCCTGTGTCCACTGGCCTTCTGGTTCCCCTCACTGCGGCCAGGCAGGGCTGCCCTTGCAAGGCTGCTGCAGTGGCCCATCTTTTCCCCAGGTTCCCTGAGAGTCCTACCTCCTGGGCCGTGTGTGTGGTCAGCTCCAAGACCAAAGTCAGAGGCAACAGAACAGACACAACTTTCAATTTGTCCCATACAGCAGACCAGACATAACTACACAGCACCCATCTCTCTCCTTAGACAACTGCCCAGGAGGGTTTGAGCACTCAACAACCCAGGCACTGAGCTGAGAACTAGAAAAGTAATTATAGGCAAAAACAGGAACAGTCTCTGCTTTCATGAAGCTCAACCTCCTAGAGAAAATGAAAATTCACTAAATTACATTAATTTATACTGTAATTTTGAAGTAGCAGTAAAGACAGCAGTATCTCTAATAGAATTTGACTACAGGGAAGTCAAGAAAAAAACTCAAGAACTTCAGAAAATTGATGGCTGCTGTAGTGTGTGATGGACAAAGTTCTTTAGACTATTCTCTTTATCATGAAAATCTGCAAACTCACGCAAAAAAGAATCTCATGAAAAAGTGATGCTGGAGACAAACTCTTAGGGAAGGCTAGGAAGAACTGAAACAGGACCAAAAAACAAAACATTCCAGGCAGAGGAAAAAGAACCAGTGCCGCATGCCCTGTGGAGAAGGTGCTAGGCACAGGAGAATGACAAGCATGGCTGAAGCAAGGAAAACAATGGGAGATGTGGTGTAAGGTGAGGCTGAGGTGCCAAAGGATAAAAATTATGTATGCCCTTGAGATCATGTTACTAAGTTCAGTACTTACAGCCATTGAAAGCTTTAAGTAAAAGGGTGACATAATGAGATACACCTTTTTAAACTCTAATTATTTTACACTAAACAAATTTCAAACACAGTTACCTTTTACCCAAAAATCTCGCTGTGTTAAAGCTAAACGTGCACAAATACAAAAAAACATATCCACAAGGTTATTCCCTGCAGCAACATTTATAACAGCAATAGAATATAAACAACCTATGTTCATCATTAGGAAACTACAAGCACAAAAGAATGGAAAAGAGCTTATATAAAACAATCACCAGAATATATTAAGTAAAAAAGAACAGTGTTGAGTTCTACCGTCTTTAAAAACGAAAAGGAAATAAAAATATGTGTCCGTGCTTCTATTCGCAAAAATGAAACACTGGAAGAATAAACCAGAAATAAAAAGGGGGCACCATGGCAATGGTGCAGGAGACAGCAATGGAAGGACTATGAACATACCTTTGTAACACAACTTTGACTTTGAACTACATATACATTTTACATACTAAAATTTTAAAAGATACATTCAACAAAAAATTAATGCAATCTTTAAAACCTAAAGATTTCATATAAATAAACCAAATAATTAAACTGGTATCAGAAAAAAATATTTTCAAATCATTTTATAATTTGGAACGTCAACAGTGCACTCTTACGTGGATACATTTTAAGAACTTTTAAGAACGGAAGAACTGTAATGAAATACAAACCAATACTTTATTGTTACTGGTGTTTTCAAACATTTATATACTGCAGAACAAGGGAAGTAATGTTGCAAAGAATGCAAATCTTCAACGTTAGAGAAAAAAGGATGAACTCAAAGTAAAAAACCTGCAGTGTTAAATCTAAATTGAAAATATCAATACAAAATAAAATGTTATGTATTTCCCACATCTGTCCAATGAAAGTAGAGGCATCCCAGTAGCAATAGGGACACACTGCACCAGATTTTGATATCTATATTCCATCCCCCAATAAAAGGAGCTAAAAGAACTAGCTGATCAGGAAAGCACAAAGTCTTAGACATCTAGTATCAGAAAGCAAGAAATGGTTCAAAGATTAATGGGGTGGCATCCAAGGGAAGAGATCCAGCTTGAAGGGACTGCACCATGTCCAAGTGAGGGACAAGCTGAGGAAAAAGAATGAGGACTACTTGATTAAAACACCCTGAATACACAAAAATCCATGGGTCCACAGTGGTTTCAAAAGAGAAAAAAGCAAAAAGAAACTCACAGCAACCCAACCCTGTACACAGGAAAAAGGACATTCTGATCACTTGCCAGGACCCAGACTAATTAGCATTAACTAAGACATACGACTAGTTAATATATAAACATACATTCACAGATAAATCTATAAACACAGATTCATATATTTAAGTCTATGGAACTCATTTATAGATAAAAACACGTAGGCCACAAACAGGTCCAAAAATTACACCTACATTGTAAGGATAGAACTATAGGCAAACTGAGCAACTTATTATAAAGAAATACAATCTAAGTTTAAAAAAAAAAGTTGTTCCACCTTTATTTTTATTTAAGCCATTTCTACACCCAACGTGGGGCTTGAACTCATGACCCCGAGATCAAGAGTCACATGCTCTTCCGACTGAGCCAGCCAGGCGTCCCTGCCTTATTTTTTTTAAAAACATTACTACAGTCTAAAAATATCTAAAATGGTATAAATAATGCTTTACTAGTCTCTTTATTTACACTGTCAACACTTGGATAAAACATCCATGTAGAACGGATCCTTTTCCCTCCACCCCTTCCGTCCCCAAAACTCAACACATTTAACATTCTAGTGACTCCAGACCGATTCCCCTTGTCCCAAATGACTTCAGCCATCACCTCCCACAGGCTGGACTAGAGATCCTGCTCTGGCAGATCTCTTCAGTGCACCTTTCATGCTGCTTAATGCCATCCAATGGCTTTCCCCACACACAGGATAAACACCAGCTGCCTTGATGGGGTATGCAGATTATGTAAAATCTGGCCCCAAATTCATGCTACACACATCAGCCATGCCAAACTACAGGTGGTGTCAGCAGTGGTAATGTCATCATCACCATCATCGGTACCCACGGGGCACCTACTACAGAGCCCTAGGAGCTTACTCTTGATGAGGTAGGTGTGCTCATCCTGTTCAACAGATAAACACACTCATAGAAGTAAATGCTAAGATGGGGCAATCTTTGGTTGGGATTCAAATCCAGGATGGTCTCAAACACCCTCCACATGCCTCTGCTGCTGCTGCCCTTCCACCTGGACGACTTTGCTCTCCTGCTCTACATTCTTGACCCTGCTGGAGCACTGCCTTCTCTTCCAGATGCCCTCAGCACGAATTCCCACATCACGTGCATGTATACCTTCCCTACCAGACTGTAAGGTCTACAGGGGCACATCTTTATGTATTATGCCCATACATGGCTCGTTTTAGTAAGAACTTACAGCAATTTTAAAGCCATAAGCACCCAACAAAGAATTAACAATTACATTGAATACTGGAGCACAACTAAGC